AAATAGCTACATGGCTATCAGTAGGCAGGACTGCTTTTTGCTATGTAAGAGTGACAAAGAAACACGAAGGAAGAAGCTGGTATTAAGAGTTGTAGAGTAGTTCCTTTATGGTCATCAAGCATCACAACTTTCTATATTAATATTCATATTCACAGAATTGATGTGTGGTCATAGGTGTGTCTATACTGGCTATTTTATAATATCTTCATTTAATTATCCTTAAATTATATATTTTTTGGTTTGTCTCAAAGTCTGCTATCAGTATGTTCTCATATTTGAAATAAAACAGCAGGAAACTACGAATAAGCTGTTGATTCAGTACACACCCATGTTAACGCTGCCATTCATTCTGCCATAAAATCTCTGGAGGGCTGGCACACAATTGTTACAACTCCAAAGAAAATATTTTGCCATCTGGAAATAGTTATGGCCTATGTAACATGAAAAACCTGACACAACACAGTTCCCCTGAACAACTTTTACCATCTGGCCCCTGAACAAGCTAATGGCTAACTACCATTTTTTTGTTGCATGGGAGGTTTGATTTCATTAGCATTAGCATATGGCTAAATTAATGATGTGATATGCTAATAAATATATCGGATAAAACGGTCCATTTTAATTAGATCAAATTAATTATCAATACATTTTAGTACTGGATGAATTATATCTAGAACCAGTATTTCTGTCGCATCTTAAGATTTGGGATAACTAAATCTATGCCAGAATTATGCTGTTTTAGCATGTAACCAAAACAAAGTATCCGGGGGAAGAAATAAAAAAAACTTTTTTTTACGGTAAAAAAACACCACCTGTGATTGCCAGACATTTACCGTAAAAAGTACTGTGACAATGTATCCGGTATTACAGGATTGCATTTGTGGCCTGTATATTTTAAAGGGGCCCTATTATGCTTTTTTATTTGTTAATTTATTTGATTATTTATAGGAGTTATTCTCTATATCAACAAGCACTGTTTCTGAACTCCCCAAACGCCTTGATTGTGTCCTGATGTCTCATCCAAAGGATGGTGACTTTAACAATATAAGTGTCCCCATCATTATACTGGGGAGCTAGGACCCACACAGACCACAGGGTGAGCACCCAATATCAGAAATTTAAACTGACAAGACTTTAAAACGCATGCAAAGAATACATTTTCACGATGACAAAGAACTGCAACTTGAGTGCGATAAAGATAATAAGAGCCTCTAGTAGTTGCCCTCATGTCCAGTGCGATGGCTGGCATATTAGGTGGTGGGTTGAAGCAAAACTAGTCTTTACATGAGATTACCTTTTATTATTTGACTCTGACCATGACAACTCAATTACTCCATTAACTTGGTGCTGGATCTGCTGGCGGAGTTTGATCTAATCTCAGGCTATAATTTAAATCTGAGAAAGGGTGAATTAATGCCCATAAATATGGCCTAAGAAAACCCATTAGCATCTCTGCTTTTCAGACCTTCTTTAGAGTTTTAGGTATTTGGGCATAAGCATTACAAAAAACTTTGTTCCACTGCTTAAACGTCCTGCACAGGATTTTAGTCATTGGCATCTCCTCCTCCTGTCCCTTGTTGGTAGGATTAACTGTATTAAGATAAACATGATTCTGTTTTCCTGTCTATAAAACATTGTCAATATTTGTGTATATATCTGTACCTATTTTTACTTATTCTTAGCCTCTAAATCAAATCACTGGTGAGTGAAATCTAAAAATGTATTAGCCAGTGGCTAATGACAGACATTATTTAATCTTTCTGTGTGAACTTTTAGTTGCATATACCTTTGGGAACATCCTTCCTGTCTGGCAAATCTAGGATGTCTTAAAATGATGTCTATGTATGTTACAGTTCAAGGATTGGCACTTTTTAATGTTTGATTTAAAGCTTTTAATTTGACAGACCAGAAACATCTACTGACAAAGTATGTAACTTATTATACATTTCTATGTACCCCGACTAAAGGAAAATGCAATAACTTACAAAGACTGAGAATTTAGAGTTTTATGCATTTTAGCTGTTGATGTGTTTTGCCTTGTCAATTGTAGAAATTGTAGAAAGAAAATATAATCAACTGATATTTATAACGTATTATGTATATGCCTGCATTATAGGATACATAGGATACACCTCAACGGCTACAGTGGAACAGCAGGGAGAACCAGTAGCATGGGACAGCCAGGAAGTGATTTCAGCACAAAAGACATAGACAACGACAAATGTGTTTGCAAATGCTCACAAATGCTTTCAGGAGGTAAGAGCAGAGTACTTTCAAATAAATATATAGTTCAGTCATGAAACTCTAGATGGCACAGGCGACGGGTTGTTAACGTAACTGATGATATTCAGAGAGTTAAACAACTTGGCACAAGCTGATTGGTTCATGCTGCATATGCAGCCAATGAGCTTACTGCCTTGCATTTATATGGCTGGCTAGCATTCACTTGAGATTCCTGCAGCGCGCTTTCAAAGTTTCTCTGAAACCATACACCTTCCCCAGCTCCACCTGTATAGATCTGCTACGGGTTATTTTATATGCTATTTGTGCAGCAGCAGCATGTCTTAAATACTCACGGCACCATATCGCCATATGCATTGGCAGTAGCAAGTTCCTGTACTTGATTGCAGCAGCAGCAATAATCTACAACTACAGCAATAACCAACAGCAGCAGCAATTCAGCAGCAGCGTAGCAGATCTATTCCGCCAAGACCAAATACATTAACATTGTCAGATCCATCACCATGCTAAAATCTTCCGAGAGTTGTCATGATTGAACTTAATATATAACTGTTGTATTGTATGCTTTATAAATGTCTTATTCTAATCGATTTGGGGCCCTCATCAAGTTCCTTTTTTTTTTTTTTTTTTACTTTGGTACTTGGCACTACCCCAGAAATCTGTATAGAATATATTTTGTATATGGGTCATGGCTAACCAGTAAAATTAGCCAGGAATTAATCAGCTCATTTGGGAATTTAGCCCTCATGAATGCTGACATTAAAGGGGTCATTAACTGAGAAATTCCCTTGATCTTTTGATATATAAGAGCTCATTGTGCTATAAAAACAGTCTAAGTTTCAGAACTCAAAACTTGTTAGTCTAAAAACAGCTTATATTGAAGCCAATCTGCCAAATTTACTAGTTTTGGAATGTGCCACTTTATGATGTAATAGTGTGGCTAAACACCGCCTCCACAGAAGATGATCACTGCCTGTTTAGCCCTGTCCACTGATTCACGTACGTAGTAGGTAAATGACAAAAGCGGCAAATGCAGGTCTATGCAGAAACCAAATGATAAACTTCATTTGATGAACTTTATTTTTAATGAAGTGCCAGACCGCGTCAGTAAGAACTTGGTTCTTTGTTCAATTGATTTTACTGTGGATTCGTTTACAAACAAGGCACAATTTGAGGCAGAATTTTCAGAAAGATTGAAATTAAAAGACGATACTGTACCGACTATTATTGGATACAGGGTTGCACACTACATGTGTGAGTGACTTTTCATTATGTGATCACTACTGCTTTGTCTGTTATTACAGATCGTTTGATATGTACTATTTAGTATTTATGCGTTTTTAACCTAAAACACAGCAGCATCCATCTAGGAAGGAGGAAGGCTGTCAGACAAACATACACATCTGTTAGCCAATCATAGCAGTGGGCATTTACTTCCGAGTCTACAATCCGTCACACCTATTCAAACGGAGCGTTCTGATGAGGGGGTCAAAACAGGACAGAAAATAGCCTATTGCTTCTAAATTATGTTTTTTTTTCATGTAAAATTCTTGATAACATTATAAGTGGACCTATTGCGTATCCACATATTATATATTGACAACTATACTATTAAGTTCTCGAGAATGGAAGTTTCAGACTATAAAGGTAAGAATGAAATGGTCTTCACCTTAAATTCATGTGTTTTCCATCACCATTTGATATTTTTCCCCTCAAATGCTGAAAACACAGTTTATACAGTGAGTGGAGTTTCTGTAACAGTCCAAAAGCCCTTGCTTGTGAGCCTGGGGTATGTTTACGGCCAATGTTTTGTGTTGTCACAATACACAGTTGCCAGTTAGTTTTCATGTCCTAACCTAAGAATATATTTTTGTTGTATCATTTAGGTTGGTGGTTTGATGCCTGTGGACCATCTAATCTCAATGGCGTATACTACCAGCAGGGGCAGAACACCAATCGGTTCAATGGTATCAAATGGTACTACTGGAAAGGTTCGGCATATTCACTAAAGGCCACCACTATGATGATAAGACCATCGAACTTCTGAGCCTCTACTTCTAACGCACAATAATTACTGATGTCACTGCTTTTCTTATCCTGTAAGGAAAATTTTGGTGGCTTGACCTTCATGCACCTCTGATAAATGATTATTATTAAGAAGATCAAGCACATGAAAAAAGCAAAGAAGGCTTTGTTTCTGTTAAATAGCTAATCAACTGAACACAAAAACATGACTTACAACATATTAAAATGGAGCTTCATCAATGGACAAGTTTTGTTGAAATGGAAGTATGAATACTTGTTGTTAAATGAAGACAATAATTGAAGACTAACAGCTGTAAAGGGGACACAGCTGTAAACGGAATTACCTTGATGCTTCACAGAATTTCTAAAATCTATATATAGATAAGTAGAATTAACTATTATTTTCTTATTGTGTTTATTTTATTTGTAATTAATATATTGTAAATACCAAATTATTTACAGAAATTGATATATTTTCAATGTAACCATGGTACAAGAGTGATTTAAATGCATAATGCTGAGGACATTCTTTACATTTGTCTTACAAATTGTTACTCTACAAAGCTGTTGTTTACACATGGTTTAGTGCTTTTGACCTTCTTGTAGATTTCTTAACTGTGGGCATTTGTTGACAGATGACCAGACTCCACAGCATTCCTTAAAGGTTTATTTTACCCAAATGGAAAACCTTCATGTTGTTCCAAATTAAAATTGTCATAATTTACTCACCCCCATGTCATTCCAAATCCTTAAGACTTTCATTCATCTTTGAAAAACAAATGAAGATATTTTTGTGTTTTTGTTTCATTAGCTGAAACAATAGCTCTATTTATTTAAAGACCAACAAAGTAGCAAATAATTTTTCACTATATACAGGTTCATTCAGGTTCTCTCCACCTTTTTCCTGAATGCTGAAGTCTTGTCCAACTCAAATACATTGAAAACAGTTGGGTGCTCATTCTACATACAGCTCCTGATCGGGTGAAGTTCGGGAGGGTTTGTCCACAAAATGTATACTTTCTTTGGGGAGTATTTTAACATAAGCGGAGACCATTGGAGACAGTCGAACAAGTACAGTATGTCACTTCATAGATGTTTCAAAGTCCCAAAAATGGCAGTTAAACATGTTCAATCTTTGAAAACTAGCACCGACCAACACCAATAGACACAGACAGGGTAACATGCTAATCAGACAAAACATGTCTGTTACCTTCTGTCGGCGTAGTGTGAATTGGCATTTAGAATCCATCATGGCAGCACTCATCTGTAATTTTCTGCCAGGACTTCATTTGTTACGTTTACAGACATTTCCCTTAACCCTAAAACAACTCAATTGCAATTTGTAATGTAAGATAACAGTAAAACAAATACAGAAAATTCCTTCATTTTTACAAAATACATTAGGCCTTATTTTTTTTTTTACAGACTTTTCTGATAGGGTGGGATTCTTTACTCAATTTTAAATAATGCCTACTGGCAAAAAGGCTCAACATAAGGAGAGCTTTATGTACTTGTTTAACATTATTACTTAATATTACATTATACTTGTGTTTTTATTTACTTTTGACAGACATTTCATTCGGAAGAAAATTAATTTTGAAAGATGCCATACAGCCCTTACTGTATATTGATTTCAATGCTTCATATGGACTGTGAAAATCTATTCTTATAAATCAACTGTCCAAGCAGATACAAAAAATGATGTTCAGCACAAACAGGAAACAACTTTTACGTGAAACTATGTGCTAATTGTGGTGCATCTGCAAAGTGCTCTATTTTAACTGCCCATCTCGTGAATGTGATTTAATAGTGCTCAAGTGCCACATTTTAAACTCCAATTGCTACGAAAGTTAATTTGAGCTCAATGCCTGAGAGAAGTGATGAAACTAATCTTATTTACTTCTACCTAAACCCATGTCATGTATAGCTTACATGTTTGTCTTAAGAAGTACAAGAAAGTTGGTTGTATCACCTAAATCAGAGAGCACTTTTAAAGTTTTAGCCACAAACGTTAAGAGTGGTGAAAAGTACGTCAGAGGGAACATTCAACCAACCTATTAATATGCTGAAATCTGAAGCTACTAATCTCTGTTTTTCTATTTTCTACATTTATCTCAAAATGCACACACACACACACACACACACACACACACACAATTGCTATCAGTTGTAGTTGTAGCACCTGGCAGCCTTTTTCAGAATCCCTCAAATCTCAAATGTGTATTAATAAACTTTCTATAATAGTTTAATGATGCATTCGTTGATTTTAATGTTTACATAAAATTTTGTTCAGGGAAGCAAAATGTCTTGCAGGTCAAGGGGGTGAAATAATTTTTATTGCAACTGTGTATATGTACATTTTTTGTTTGCACTGAGTCAGGGCTGACTTGCATCTCCTACCAGGATTTCTTTACCCACTTTACACAAAGACTTAGCATCAAAATAGACAGTGCCACTGACTGATAATAGATCATATGTTTTTATAATTTAAACTCTTTAAATAAAAATTATGATTTAATGCTCATTCATCTTTTTTTGTAAAAGTATAATTATGAAACATTATGGATTTATTCTTCTATTGTACCATAAATTTGTCATTGCAAATGCTAATAAAAATGTCTTAAATTATTAGGTAATACTATAATGTGTTATACCTATAATTAATGTTTTAGTGATAAAGTTCATTCATACGATTAAATTAAACTTGATTAAACAAAATCAATTGAAAGAAACTAAACCCCCAAATTAATCCTATGATGGGAACATTTTTCCTGGTTACAAAAAATGTTGATTGAACCTTTAAAAAGGGGGGGGGGGGATTCCATTTTTTCAGTTTTAATTTATTAATCAGAAAGCATGTCTAATTAAAATCATGAAACTTAAACAATTTAACATCAATTTATTAAACGTTTAACAAAAATTACATGTTTAGGGCCCTATGAAATGTTTAAATTTTTCCAACCTTATGTTTTCTTGTTACCAAATTCTGTTTTAGCATGTCTAATTATTTGAAAGCATAAAACACGTTTCATTAATTCTTACAAATAGCCTTATGAATTTTTTCCTCAGAAATTCTGTGTTGTGTATTACATTTTTTTAAGGCATAAAACATTCATTTAATTTATCTTTTAGTTAATGAAAATTATTATTATTTTTTTTTTGGAAAATAAAGGGGATTTAATATTACAATTAAAACATTGAAGAAATATTGTATGATTATTTCTTAAAAATAAGGTTTTAATAATTTTAGTAGTAGTAGTAGCCTATTACATACATTCTACTGAACAATAGTAATGTATTTCTGCCACGTCTTCAAGTTAAACTGAACTTTTATTTTGACGGGTTGCAGTGAATACCTTTACATTTCTGTGTGTATATGATATGAGGATAGTTTTACCAAAGTCAGTCTTGGTTTTACTCAAATAAAACGGTCAAATGCTCATGAAGTGAATTCATATTCAAATAGTTTTTTTGCAATATTTACAAATACTAGTGAGAGTGTGCTCACCTGTGTGTGCGTTAGGGGTGGAACGGTTCGTGGAAAAAAATCGAACGGTTCGGCACGTGCTAGGACCGCGGTTCAACTTAAATCTGACAACGCATCTGTAATATGGTTTGCTATAAATAACACGTAAAACAAACAGGGTTCGGCTAATGTATGTTTATGCTGATGGATGCGCATTCCATGTTCACAGGTGAGACCTGAACAGCACACGTTGATATCTGTGTTTACGCTTTGCCAGTTTAAACATTTAAGAGCCAGAGGACGCGAGCTCGCGTGCGCAGTGAGAAGATTTGTGCGTGCGCTCATCCGAAGCGCGCAAACCCGCGCATCAGAACGCACGCAAATATTAAGCTTTCTCTGAAGTATTGTGTTTGCTCGTGTGTTGCTCGGAGACACAAAACTTTGATCAGAACTATTTTCGTCAGCGAAATTGAGCAAAAACAGTCAATATTTTGTCTAAAATCTAAGTCACTTAATTCTAACTTCTTGTTTATTGAAATACTATTGTATAAAATCAGTGTCACATTGCAGTCGTGTTGTTATTGATATTCGGGGAAACATCATGGCCGTATAATGTTGCTTACCTAAATCATATTTTGTAAATATCTTTTTTTTCTACTGCAGTATGCAGTTACTTTGTGTGTGCTGTCTCTCTCACACACTCCCTCAGGCTGTGCAAGCCTCATCTGGCATGATATAAATACATTATCAGTCGCCGTTTACACTGAATGCAATTAAAATGAGAATCATTCGCACGTGAAACATGTGTACACGCGACTGTGAGTGTGCACGTGGCTGTGACGTCATTGCAGGCACCGCTGGCAATAAAAGGATCGGAATCAACAAGGCGTGAGATTCCCATCACTGGCCGGTCAATCGGTGCATCTCTATAAATAACATAAGGTTATTTAGTTTGTTTAATAAAACAACAAGGTATAGACTTGTTCTATAGGAAAGGTAACTTTAAATGAATTATTTTGTGATCTGGCGATATACTGGTTAGTCAATTTATCCCGTCTCATAGCGAAAAGTCACATGACTTCTTCAATGATGGAATTTATTTGGTAAATGTGTTTCCATCGTAGTTTATGCACATTTTTTCTTATTGGATAAAAAGTTTATCCTACTCAAATGTGCACACACACATTTTTATGCACATTTTTGAATTTATGCGCATCTTGGCGTTTCCATCCAGCGTTTTTTTTTATGCGATAATCCAAAATGCGCATAAAAATAGGTGGATGGAAATCGCTACTACTGACTTTTTCTTATGTGTATAGAGTGTATTAACTGCATGCCCTTCTCACTAATGGTTAGAACTTCCTACCACAACCATTAATAACCCACACAACCCTCTTTAACCACTTAAAGAGATGCAAAGATGTGTTTGTTTACATCCACTGCACACTATTATAATTTAATTCTTATTTAAACTTTACAAATTATGTATCATTAAAAGTATTTAGGAGTCTGGCTTCGATATTTGACCAATATTTGTGAAATTATTTCCTAATTTCTGTCAGGAGTGCAACATTTCAAATACAATAATGATAATTTAATAGACAATAGTAACATTTTATCCTACTCAGTTGTGCGCATACATTTTTTATGCGCATTTGTAGAATTTATGCGCATATTGGAATTATTTCCTAATTTCTGTCAGGAGTGCAACATTTCAAATACAATAATTATAATTTAATAGACAATAGTAACATTTATTCAATTCATTAATTATTGCATTATATATATATATACACTAGGGATGTGCATCTCCTTAACTGAGGCCGATATGATACGCATCTCGACGCATAGCCAATGATACAATACATTAAATATAGTTCAGTCATGAAATTCTATATGGCGCAGGGTGACGGGCTGTTAAAGGGTTAGTTCACCCAAAAATGAAAATTAGCCCATAAATTACTCACCCTCAAGTAGGGTGTATGGACGGATGCATGCAACACCCGCTGAGTGCCATGAAACAGCTTGAAAGATCAAAGACAATTTTTAATATAACTCCGACTGGATTCGTCTGAAAGAAGAAAGTCATATACACCTAGGATGACTTGAGGGTGAGTAATTTATGGGCTAATTTTCATTTTTGGGACTAAGCCTTTAACGTAACTGATGATATTCAGAGAGTTAAACAACTTGGCACAAGCTGATTGGTTCATGCTGCATATGCAGCCAATGAGCTAATTGCCTTGCATTTATATGGCTGGCTAGCATTCACTTGAGATTCCTGCAGCGCGCTTTTAAGAGTTTCTCTGAAATCCTACCCCTTCCCCAGCTCCACCTGTATAGATCTGCGCACCATATCAGTAGCCAGTAGCAAGTTCCTGTACTTGCTTGCAGCAGCAGCAATAATCTACAACTACAGCAATAACAGCAACAATTCAGCAGCAGCGTAGCAGATCTATTCCGTCAAAACCAAATACATTAACACCGTCATATCCATCACCATGCTAAAATCTTCCGAGAGATTTTAGTATTAAAAATCTTATTATAAAAAGCTACAAATAATATATTTATGCTTCATGTATGACTAAAATCCACATTAGATGACAACTGGAAGTTATTACAAACACTCAGTGATGCTTTAAAGTGAGTTTTGAGTAAAAGTATTAATCTTATAAACTGTCATATGTAGCTTGATCCTTACTGTAGCTATAATGGACCTGTTACCCCAGTGTGATTATACTTAATTCTGTATTTTGTCAAAAGAATTTACATTAAGTCCTAAGAAAATGGTTTGTTTGTTTTAATAAGTGGGTAAATGTATACACCATCAAACATTTTGGGTGGACAAGCAATGTAAGCAAATATGGTAAACAGCACATTTTTATTTGCAGACAACCCATCAAAATAAAAGCTGATGTTTAAGCGTTGGAAAATAATGAAATTAAGACGCAAGTATTAGTACTGTAATTTTACTCATTTGTTTTATTTTACAGTATTATAATACATTTCGTTTTTTTTTGTAATAATCAAATTAAATAATAATAATAACAACAACATATATACACACACACACACACACACACACACACCCATATATATATACACACACACGTATATATACACACAGTTGTGCTCAAAATTATTCATACCCTTGATAAATATGATCAAAGGCAGCTGTGAAAATAAATCCGCATTGTTTATCCACTTGATCTTTCATTAAAAAATCAAAAATCTACCCTTTAAAGTAAAAAAAAAAGTGAAAGTGGGGGAAAAAAATATTTTTCTCTAATACAGTAAGAGGACGTGTTGTCTATATCGTCCTAATGCACGGTGAGGAGGAGAGTTTGAGTGGCCAAAGACTCCAAGGATCACAGCTGGAGAACTGCAGAAAATAGTTGAGTCTTGGGGTCAGAAAGCCTAAAAAAAATAAATAAAAAAAAACCAATGTTGTTTGTAAGGGTTACAAGAAAAAAATTGGAAAAGAAACAGCTCTCATCCAAAAACAAACTCCAGCATATTTTTTTGCTAGACACGACTGGAACTTTAAATGGGACTGGGTTCAATGGTCAGATGAAACTAAAAAAATTAGCTTTTTAGCAGCAAACACTCAAGATGGGTTTGGTGCACACAGGGATAAAAAAAAAAAAAGTACCCCATGTGTACAATGAAATATACCGCTGGATCTTTAATGTTGTGGGCCTATTTTTCTGCCTGAGATCCTGGATATCCTGTTCAGATAGATGCATAATTATTATTTTTTTTAATTAAAAACTGACTGTCCATGCTAGAAATCTTATAATGGGCCATGGTTGGATTTTCCAACAGGACAATGATCCACAAACAAACATCAAAATCAAAACAAAAATGGATCACTGAGAACAAAACCAAGCTTCTGCCCTGGCCAACCCATTTCCCTGAGCTGAACCCGATAGAAAATGAGTGTGGTGAACTGAAGAGAAGCATCAACATGCAGCTTGAAATCTGAAGGGTCTGGAGAGATTCTGGATGAAGCAATGGTCTCTGATCTCCTGCCAGATGTTCTCTAAACTCTTCAGACATTAGAGGTGAAGACTCAGAGCTGTTCTCTTGGCAAAAGGAGGTTGCAAAAATTGGATAAAAGGGTATGATTAATTGTGACCAATGTGTATTAGAGAAAAACATTTATTTCATAATGAGATTTAATCTCCCATTTTAAATTCTTATTCTCCAATCAAAGGTTAGATTTTAGTACATTTTTAAAATAAAATATCTAAAGGAGTGATGATACAGATTAATTTTCACAGCCTTCTTTGATCATATTTACCAAGGGTATGAATAATTG